GCAAATTCCTTGGATTGGTGTAGTGGGTTATGGAGAGTGTGTTGATAATAATGGTCTACTACTGCTTTGGCACCATTTGTTACTATGGAGTTTGGAAGAGAATAAAAATCTACAATTGTTTCACCCAATATATTTTTAAAGCATTGGGGCTTGAGAATATGTCTGTATCTGCTAAGGTTAATGCTACTCATAACCTTTTTTGTTGTTTTATCTGCGATGTTAAGCTTATCTTTTGAGTTTCATTGAAATACCTTAGGAATATAATAATGCTCTAAAGGCTTTTTTTGAGCCTTTGTCTGCTAATTATGTGCATGCAATATCTTTGACCAGAGACGACGACAGTGCCCTTGAAACTGTTTGTAATAAGTTTTAGAAGTCTTAAAGTGTGCCCATCTTGCAAATTCCATTCATAGCTTACGGGTTGAATATGTTTTAAGACTACTATAAGAATATAATATATTAAAAATTTCCGATTCTAATAAGTTTAGAAATTCAGTAGGTACTTCAGAAGAGGATGGGATCGATTGGACACTTTGGGGCAGTAAAATTTTATTTGCCTCCAATTTTGCATTTATATTATGTTTATACATTTGATCCTCTCTTCGTTGTTTCTTTTCTAAAAGCTTTTCAAAAAAGGTAAATGTTGGATTCAAAAATATAGAAGGTTGTGAGTAGTTAGTTGACTTAAGATCGCTTGCTAGAAAATTATTCGAAGTCTATAGGCATTGGATATATTCTCGAGATTGGTCCTTTGTGGACAGATGTGTCATTCCTTGTATTTTATGCTTGACCAAAGATAAAAAAAGTAAGTTAGTCTATGAAGACAAGAATAATAGATTATCTCAAAGAATAGTAATTCCATCTTTCGTCTAAGTGGATACATTCATATCATTCCACATAGTGTAGCCTGGTGGTTTAAAACCTGGGAAGTCTGTTGAACCTTCCTCACCTTGCATACGCCCTACATAGAAGAATGACGATCATGTCTTAGAAACTATGAAAAATAGAACACTTTATCGAAATTTATGCTTATATAAAAATTTGATTAGCTTACTTCCTGAGGATTATAAAATATGTTTATTTTTTTGATATGACTAGTTCTAGCATTGTAACAGTGTCCCTCTTCAATGATCAAATGGTCTGGGTCTTCGACTTTGGCCTTTTTTATAATATGCAGTTCTTTTTTACGCAAATTCCTCTTGGAGGCCTTCGATAAAACATTTGGCAACGACATAGTGATAATATGATAAGCAATTTTATAAAAATTTTTGAGAAAAACAAGTCAGAACTTTGTAGATAACTCTTTTATTATAGGGCTTGCCTATGCTTCGCATAAATCACGACTTATTTTTATTTAGTACATAACTATTTGACACGAAGCAGTATATATGATACAAATGACTCAGCATTAGGATAATTTAACACGAGTCAACTAACAATTTTTATTTGGCCGTCATAACGATAATTTAACACTACATAACAAATAATTAAAATGTTTACTAAATTCGGCACCACAATTATAGAACACGACAAATCAACCATCGCATATTTTCTATATTCAGGATTAGATTATTAATAACTTGTTGAAAGACATATTTGGGTATACGGATACAGTAATAATTTTACATGTTATATTTAAGCTAGATCTACAAATTTAGAATAACCGTTATATACTTCATTATTACCAGTATACTTATAACAAACATGTTCCCAATTTTTTTACCAAAGTGCAGAAGTGCAAAAGTGTAAATACATAAATACCTATAAATATCTGTAAACATAAATGTGCGTTAGTTTAACACAACCACGTAATTTTTATCGTTGGCCATTAAATCATGTCGGTACCGATCCGTACTGAAATAAATCACATGGACACGTATCGATACTGGTATATTTGTGCTGGAAAAAATAAAGTATTTATTATCACATGTCTTAACAGACCCGTGGGACCCTTTTATTCAAAGCTTATCTACATCAATAGGTCAGAATTTTTTTATTACTTCTGGAGAGACGCTGTATTAATACAGTAATATTGTAAGTACAGAAGCGATATAAGGTTTTGTGACACTTTCCTGCAGAATTATTTCTTATAGTTGATTTTTAATGAATATTACGAATAATACCTAGACTCTTTTCCTTACTTTATACGATCTCGCGATAAGAATAGGACTTAAAAAGACTATAAGGGCAATGAGTATAATGTTTTTAATCAGTAGTTTAATCAAAATTCACATGTTACGGGGGTTTGAAATTTTAGATCGTCGGGATCGTTGACTTTTTTTATATTGCAAGATAGATCATTGAATCTAAGGGGGTTAATTTCACCAGAAAAAACAATAAAATAGATTTGGCGTTTGGAAGTTATGACCGAGCGGAGTTGCTTTGTTAAGTGTATTATGGTATTGTGTTAGGGTAACGTAATTACTAAGCTTGTGATTTTTCTTCTGGCAGGTTCTCAGACCTAACGACGTGAAGTATAAAATAAGCAAGTTTCTACCCATAAGATAAGTTAGCAATAATGTTATTTTTTGCTCATATATATACTTTTTACTTGTGTGTAATTTATTTTTAAGGTATTAGTTATTATGTTGGGTTGGATTCTGGAAAAAAAAACTAATTATGACTTTTATATTTAGAAGTCGCAAAATGCCAGTCGCAATGATGGAAGAAATCTCAGTTGAAGTTGGTGAATAAATTAATTCTCTTACCAACTTTGTTAATAAAATATAATTAAATATATATATCATTAATTTTTGTAGTTAGCCCAAGTTCTTGGGTAGATAGAAAAAATATCAAACTGTGTGGAGATGGTACTGAAAAATCACAAGAGCTCGGTGATGATAAGCTTTTTTTGTAAGTTACTTCATTTTTTATAGGCTTGCATTATATAATTTTGTTTTTCTTACATCTATATTCTATTTGTACTA